CCCCCCTTCTTACACTTTTCTTACATTTGCCCCCGTAATATTACCAAAGATAGTACAGCCTACGGTAAGATGCTGCAGTCCCCTCTTTCCCTCTGTAAAATAGGCCACGCCCCCAGCGAGCGTGTGACTGAGCCCAGATGGCTTGGCCCTGTGCTTGTTGGATAGAGTAGAATATGAGAGCGAGAGAGAGAGATAGAGAGAGAGGGGGGGGGGGGAGAACTAATAAGCTATTACAGTTAAAACGACAAACATGCACACAGAGAGATAGATGAGTGGGTGAGTGAGAGAGAGAGAGAGAGAGAGAGAGAGAGAGAGAGAGAGAGAGAGAGAGAGAGAGAGAGAGAGAGAGAGAGAGAGAGAGAGAGAGAGAGAGAGAATACAAAGAATACAACAAAGAAGTATTATATGTCTTATTAACTCGCTCTCTCTTTTCTAAGGGCTCACGCTCTCCTAGCCTTGACAACGGGGTGAAAGTTTACGACACACTTTCCCCAGTGACACAGTCACTTATGCACTCATTGGACCTTTGTTAGGTGCTTTCAATTTTCCTCGACTACACAGCTGATACCAGCTCATCATAGACGGAATAATAATATGCTTGAGGTGTTGTGTGTGCTCCTGAGATTTAAGTGTTATAAATCACGTCGAACCACTTTTAAGGCAACTTTTTCATTAGATGAAAATTAGTTAGAATAAATTTGGAGGGGAAACGGTTTCATCCCCGCCATCCAGGAGAATCTAGATCTAGAGCTAACTTAGAATAAAGAGATGGAAGACAAAGTTGATACTCCTTGTTTAAATTTGTTCCTAAAATACCGTGGCTCACCGTGAGTATGGCGCTTGATTTTTGGTAGTAAAGAAGTGGAAGCAACCTAAGCCCCACCCAAGTCTTGGTCCACCCACCGCGGCTGGAAATTTGTGGAGGTGGTTTTTGTGATGTAGATCTACATGAAGATGATTTGATGATGAAGATGTGATGGTGGCCGTGATGATGATAAAATGTACAGAAGTGGTCAGAACATATGGTGTGCGTGTGCGTGCGTGTGTGTGTGTGTGTATATATATATATATGTGTGTGTGTGTGTGTGTGTGTGTATGTGTGTGTGTGTGTGTGTGTGTGTGTGTGTGTGTGTGTGTGTGTGTGTGTGTGTGTGTGTGCGAGCGAGTGTGCGTGCGTGCGCGCGTACAAGTGCGTATGAGTATGTGAGGTGAGAGAGAATTGAATTGAATTAGACTTTATTGACTTTCGAGGCCAATGGCCCTTACGTCATAAAAAGTCACAAATTAATGTGCAAAATACTAATCTCTCTGTGTTGTGCTAAAGAACAAATTGCATAATAACCTACAACACAGAAAACATATAGATCTAAATAACATTTGCATGGACCCACACACAACAAAGTACAGAGTACAACGCATTGGTCATAGTCAAGGATGCATGATGCAGAGACTAAACAAAGCTTACAGGCTGGACTCTGATCTCTCTAGTTTAGCTCTAATCCCTCTGCTCTAATCTAGACTCAAGATTAAAAAAATTAGGCCACTGCAAACATCTTACCGTAGGCTGTACTATCTTTGATATTACATTGTTCGCTTATAATGATAAAATTAAAAGTAATATGACATTTATATCGCGCAAATCCGTAAAACAATCATTGCTCTATGCGCATTGCATAATAGTCATGAAAAACATCCATACACACATACATGCACATTTTAGTATAGGCACTAAAAAATAATAGGTGTCACGACATGGTGGGACCATGCGCTCGTCAGTTTTGATTTTGAGGCATACGGAGTTATTGATATCATCTTAAAGCCTGTCCAATTGCCTTCCTTTTGATGAAAACAATATCCATCTATGCTGAATAGAAGTTGAAATATTTGTGATTGAAAGAGGTGAGGGTCACCTGATTTCAGAGGTAAATTTAGTGAGAAAATGGCCGCCAAAGTTTGATAACTTCAATAGCTTGAGAGCCTTTAAAATGGAAAAATCACCAGTTTGTGCATGTAATAAACGTTTTCAGTATGGACTTAAAATTTGTTTAGCGCGGAAAAAAAAAATTCAATAAAAGTTCCCAAACCTGTGGAAAAATGCCAGTTTTTTTCACTTTCATTATTTTGACGAGCGCCTGATTTCACCACGCTGCCTCACAATTAGAGTAAATCATTCAAGGAAAATATTGCTTACACACTCTTTCTTACTAATAAAAAGGAAAAAAATTGAGACTCATGTCTATGACATAAGCGCTTTAATTTTGTTTTTAAAAAAGTTACGGTGGAATTCTGATAAAGTCAACACCCCGGACAGAAAAAAAGTGTTGACTTTGAGCAAGGTTGACTTTATCCATTGTACTATATGTACTGGCCATTGAAAATTGAAGATGACAGCTACAAAATTACAAAGTACCGGGTAATAAACAAGATGTAATCTCAATTTCAAGGAGTATAATTCTGAGATAGTCACCAAAACAAGAGATAATGAAAGAACAAAGTACATATTATGTAATTGGAGGTGTGTGTATACACCACTTGCTCAGGCGAAATATCTCTTCTTGAATGAATTCATCTTAGGATTTAGCCCCAAATTGTTGACTTTACGCAAGGTTAACACTCAAGCGGTGGACTTTATCAGAGTCACGATTACTTTAACAAAGAAGGTAAGAAACGGGACTACAGTGAGGTGTTGACTGTAAGCAAGAGTTGACTTTAAGCAAATTGACTTTTCAAGATTCCACTGTATCTCTGTTATTACTGATCCTTTATGCTGAAAAAAAAAGTGAAATTAGTTATCATCAACAAATGCAGAGTTCATCATTATGTCAAAAATATTTTTTCACCTCACAAAAGTGTAATATTGCACTTTTCTTACAGGAGCCAAAGACCCCCCCCCCCCTCCCAGGCGTAAGATTATATTTGAACGGCCCCTAACGAAAGTTGCGCTCGTCGAAAAGCTTATGAACTGAATGAAAACAAAAGGCAGCATGGGAATGTTTCGTGCTTCTTGAGAGAGAGAGAGAGAAAGAGAGAGAGAGAGAGAGGGGGGGGGAGAGGGAGAGAGAGAGAGAGAGAGAGAGAGAGAGAGAGAGAGAGAGAGAGAGAGAGAGAGAGAGAGAGGAGGGGGGAAAGGGGGGGGGGGGTTTTATTCGGGAGCACGTCTATGTTCCCTCAAGTCAAGTTAAACATCCTTTGCCATGTCATGTCATAATGCAATGTCTTGTCATGTGCCCTGTCATATTGCATGACGTAAATACATAGACCTATCTCTTGACTTGAGGGAACATATAGAGCTACTTTTCCTAACAAACCTATGTTCCCTCAGTTCTGCTATTTCCTCATTTCCAGTTAAATGAGGGACTATAAGTCAACTAATG